TTTGACCTGCCTTTCCATACCATGATTATAAATCCATCCTCTGCTATTTTCAGCTGGGCGCCATATCAGTTTTATTTCGGCAAACAAACATTATATGGGTCGGCTTTACCGCTGGAACTGTAGTTATTAGGTCAGTGGTAAAGATAAAGCCTTCTTTGTCCATCTCTTCTCAATTACCGTTTCCTCCAACTTTGACTAGAAATAAGCTCTCCTTTCTGAGCCTTAACATACTTTACTTTTAGGGACATCGAAAATCGAGGATTACTAGAGCATTGCGATGATTTCTTCTCTCAAATGGAAATAGCTGTTAAAGTAATATTGAGATATTTCTGGCAGTATCTGCTTTTACTCCTACCTTATCTGATGGTTCTCGCTGGATTCGGTGTTTTTATTGTCTTAAACGGTGGTATCGTTGTCGGTAAGTACTCATTCCTAACAACTTGACATATTTCTGGGATATTATTTCCTAATTGAAATTGTGTCAAAAGTTATAATTTCGAACGTGTTAGTTCACTGACATTTTTCAAGAATTACCCGCACTTAAAGTTAACCCTGTTCCTACCCTCAGGTGACAAGAGCGCCCACACAGCAGTTCTACATTTCCCTCAGTTTCTCTATTTCCTTCTCTTCCTTACTGCATTTTCCTTACCCCACATGATCCAACGGCTACGACACAGTCATCTCACTGTACTTTACTACGTTTTTAAGTGAGACAGTTTCTAAATTCCCATGCATCTTGCTTAATAATTACATATTTTCTTGTTAATTTAATGTGCTCAAATTTGTAACTTCCATCCTAGTTCACCGTTTCACCAGTTAAATGATATTAACTGTTATCTCAGGCCTGTACACGTGTTACTTTTCTTCATGAGTGCAGTTTTGGCTCTTTACTTCTTCCGATATGAGCATCCCTATCTTCTGGCTGATAACAGACACTATACATTTTACATCTGGCGAAAAATCCTGAAGTAAGTTGGTTTGTAAATGTACCTTCTAATTTAATTTTTAATTATAACACAGGGGTTAATGGACTTATTAATTTTCATCTCTCACGGCATGTTGGATTGATAAAATTTGCCCAACCCCTCCCTTACATAACTTATGTAATTTTTAACAAGTGAATTAAGTACTTCATATCTAGTTCAGTGTAAGTAGTGTATTAAGTCCCCAATCTATCTAACAAATCACTTCAGTCGGACGTCCTACACAATGTACTACCTCCTCCCGGTATGTTTCTACACATTCCTAAACATTGTGGCCCTCCTTTCAACGGTCCACTCCAAGTTCTTCACTCTGCTCTATTTCCTCTGCGTGGCTAGTCAGATTGTACCGCAGGGCTTGCTGGAGTTCAGATACTTTATCCTACCTTATCTGCTGTACAGGTGATTAGGGCTAATATTGGATAATTAATTACTTAATTATCGGTAAATTGATTAGTTAAAGTGTTTTTCGAGTTTTTTTTGTCGATTATTATTATTATTAATTATTTTCTGACTTATTATTTTCTGACCTTTAAGAATAGCGATTGTTGAACCTCTTTAACAATCGCTATTCTTAGAAGTCAGAAAAAATATGCTCAGCTTCGATACTAGGTACCTAGTCTCATTGAATATAAATATAAGATTATTTTCAATATTAGTCGAACGTATGTCTCTAAACAATAAATACTCCTAGGCTGCACGTGCCGCAACACTCGTGGGTGGTGTTATTCCTGGAACTCTGTCAGTACACCGTGATTAACCTGGTCACTGTCAAAATCTTCCTCAACAAAACTTTTGACTGGGAGATCACGGATTCTCTAACTCCTAACCCTCAGCGATTTATGTGGTGACGTCATTAATTACCATGGTTACGTCATTAATTACCATGGTGTCGTTATCTAACACTGTTTTAGAATAATTTTGGGCAACTGCTAATTAAACGTTTGATGTCTGGCTGTAATTCATAAAATTGGACTAGTTGAATAATTTTGCGTCGTCATCAAACACCCCTTGTAAGACGGTTTTGTATTAAATTTACTGTATATCATGTAGTGTTTAAATTCATTTTGTCAGATTTTTTTGGTTGATTATGATATTTGATTGATTTTGTGATTCCTATTTCCTCTTGATATTGCTAATGTATGTTCAGTCGTCCTTTAATTATCAAGCTCAGCCCAGAGTATGGTATCAGAAATACTTATTTATGGTTTTCGATTTTGGCCGGAAAATGCCCATTTACTCAAATGGTCATGAGCACCGCATCCCTATTTTCATCAAGCACCTTGGGTACGTAGGTGTCATGCCAAGGCTCCCCCAACTTCACGCATTTATATTTGTCCAAATGATTCCTTGATCATGGAAGGATGTTAAATTGTTAGTGATTATGAATAAACGTAAAACAAGCAATTTTAATTCTTGTAATTAACAGTAACAAAAATTTTATTTTGTCAAAAATTTGATATATTTTCATACCTTCCTGCCTTGTGCCTTCATTTTTACATTCTGGGCCGTGAATCATTGTTTAGTTTGGTTTTAAGTTTAAATAATGCGTTTTCGTTGTAAATGAGTCATCGTGAGTGATTAAGCAAATTTATTGCAACTGTAACAAATTTACTTGACCAAGATGTAGCCAATTTCTGCCGAAGTTGGGGACAGAAAGAGGCTAAAACTTAGTGCAGAATCAATACAAGTTATAGACATATTTTAATTTGACGTTTCAAATTGGATACGCTTTCGGTGGAGATATATCTAATTGTCTAAAAGCCGACTCCGAGCTCGTGTTGCATAGTATAGGGGAGTCCTTGCAGATCGCACTACTGATCACAAAGGGAAGCCTAGATTCCAAGTTCGTATATTATAATTAAGGATCAGGTGCAGTGGCGTAACGTTCAGTTGCCTGTTGGTGCCCCCTCTAAAATTGAACCGATACACGTTGCAACCCCTTTTCACACTCCGGCCGTCCGTGTAGCAAAAATTGAACAAATCAGATTATCATGTTTTAAAGGATATGGGATACGCCTGTAAAATCTCTAAGGGGTCGTTCACATATTACGTAATCAGCTGAAGGGGGGGGGGGGGGGGGGGGTTTCCGAATGATTACGCTAGTGTAATTTTGACACAATAGCTATTATATTATATTATTATTATATGTGTAAAACTGATTACGGAGGGGGGGGGGTAAAAATGATTACGTAATATGTGAACGACCCCTAATGTCAAAAAAGTATGTTTCTAGAGCAAAACTCGCAGTTTTGCTAGTACCGTAGATAATTGTTTTTCCAAATTGTCTCACATTCAAAGAACGATTTATAGATTCGGCGGGGTCCTTTTGCCTTCGTTACATCACTGGTTAGGTGTGGACTACGAAAAACCAAAAATAACATTGAACATGAAAACTTACAAATTTCGGAAATATTTTTACAGGATTAATTGATTGTTTTTTACGGATGTTGTAGCGCGATGATGGATATGATGCGTCACTGGGCCGCGCCGCGTGCACTCAATAATGTTGATTCACGATGTCAATCCTTCGCATCTCGCCGATCTGCATACGTGGTTGCGAGAAGCATTATTGGATGCGCGCGCGCGACCCAGTAGTGCATCGCGCTACAATCAATAATGCTTCTCGTTAGATCGGCGAGATGCGCTACTGGGCTTCGCCGAGCTGCGAAGAACTGACATCGTCAATTAAAACGGATGTTACTCTTCTAAATTTCTTCGAAGTAGCGCGCCCTATTGCCTATAGAGGGGTCGTTCCTTGTAGGTTTACTTGTATCACGTTGCGACCCCCACGGTCGTTTCACTATCGTCCTGACGATACGAGGGGAGCCGCGCACTTCGTGCGCGGTGGGTCATACAACGTATGACAAAGGTTTACAACCTACCAGGACGCGCGCCGAGTTGGACTCGTCGACGGAACAAATATTTACGAGTATCACCCGTTAAGATGGTTCCTGGAAATCCGGAAATTTTGGCAGAATTAACAAAAAAAGTTTCATTTATTTCAACTCTTTGATTACACAAAGCAGCCCTTTTTGATTTTCCGGAGTGCACAAGAGGTATTCAACATAACGGCAAACGGGTGATACTCGGTACGCGTCTTGGTAGGTTATTGTAGGTTTACAACCTACCAGGACGCGCGCCGAGTTGGACTCGTCGACGGTCTGTTCCAATATATGGAACAGATATTTTACGAGTATCACCCGTTAAGGTAGGTTATAAACCTACAATATACAACGTGTAGCAGGGGGGGCAACGCCCTAAAAGGCCCCGATTTCTAGGGCCCTTTTTGGATTTTCGATGCGTCTAGGTATTTAGGTTATTGTAGGTTTACAACCTACCAGGACGCGCGCCGAGTTGGACTCGTCGACGGTCTGTTCCAATATATGGAACAGATATTTTACGAGTATCACCCGTTAAGGTAGGTTATAAACCTACAATATACAACGTGTAGCAGGGGGGGCAACGCCCTAAAAGGCCCCGATTTCTAGGGCCCTTTTTGGATTTTCGATGCGTCTAGGGCCTTTTGGGGCCCTAGAATTAACTTCAATTTCATCAAGTTTGATATATGCTAAGTGCTTTAATGATATTATCTGACTACTTGCACAGTACTTTTATGTTTATTTGAGTGTATTTACATGGAGATTATGGTCCATAAACACTATCAAATAGTGGTCAGGGTCAAAAGGCCCCGATTTCTAGGGCCCTTTTCGGATTTTCGATGTGTCTAGGGCCTTTTAGGGCGTTGGCCCCCCCCCCCCCCCCCCCCCCCCCCCCCCCCCCCCCCCCCCCGTAGCAACTAGTTACTCTGTAAGTTTAGATTCCTGTATTTTGAACGAGTACTTAAATATAACTACTAAACTTGTTCGACACTTATGATTCTCTACAACATAAGAATGGCAGTACGGAGTAAGGCATAGTGGTAGAGGGATAGATTAGCCAAAAAATGGCTTACGTCGTACCCAATCTACAATTTTCGTAGGTTCTTGTTTCCTTTTGTTCAACAAAAAAAACAAACACTTAAAATAGAGAATAATTAAATAATCTTAAAATAAAATTACATTTGGACTCGGCCAAACTGAAACGCGGGGTCGAATCATGAGAAAACCTGTATTTTGTTACCGGAAGCTAATTGAATGTAGCTGTAGCTGATTATATAGGTAAGATTCAGCTCATTAAAGTAGCAAATTATTAAAAGTTCAACTGATGTCAACTGTGAGAAATTTGTCCGAAAAAGTCAGTTTCTGAATCGTGGAATGGGAGCTTTTCTTTAACGTTGTTCGACTGAAAATAATATTATCATAGCGCAAAGTCGTGGTAACATTTTCATTTTGATAGCTTATTATCAATTTAATTATAGTGTTTTGGGTTAGCATAAGAAAAATGAACTTACTATAGCTGGTGATGTCTATTGAATCTGGTAGTTCCCCAATGTTGACTTCGAATCTGTCCTGAACGTCGTTGAGGATCTTAGCATCGTTCTCGTCGGATACGAAAGTGATGGCTAGACCTTTGGTACCGAACCTTCCAGCTCGCGCGACCTGTGATTCAATTGGGTGAATATTTGAATACTCTTGATATTATAATCAATATTATAAATATTAACCAAGACAACCCTCATGAAAAAGTTGCTGTGAAATGAAACGAAGATGTTTCTAGATTAATTGATAAATTAACTTAATTGGTTAACTTACTCTGTGAAGGTACATGTCGGAATCCTCAGGCATGTCGTAGTTGAAGACAATGTTTACTCGCTCGATGTCCATACCACGGCCAAACAGGTCTGTAGCTACGAGGATTCTCTTCTGGAAATCTTTGAACTGTTGGTAGCGGTTCAACCTGAAATTGTTGGGTGTTAGTAGGCCAGGTAGTTAAACATCGAGTAATTGGATAAAGTGATCAGCATTGCTCTAGAAGCTTTAAAACAGGAAAAAAGTAAGTACGGAATTGAAGAAACCGCTCATTTAAAGATCCGATGAGTGTACCTCTCTTCTTGGCTGAGGGATCTGTGGATGCAGATAGCAGGGAAGTTCTGTTCGGAGAGAAGCTGGGTGAGAGCCATACATCTCTGTACGGTCCTGACGAAGATAACAACCTGGTTAAACTCCAACAGATCCAGAAGGTCGAATAGTTTCCTGTTCTTCTCGCTCTCCTTCAGTTTCACGTAGTATTGTTGGAGTCCGTGAAGGGTGAGTTTGGTTTCGTCGTCCACGAATACTTCCAGAGCCTGGTGGTTAGTGGGATTTAGTGGGAGTCAGTGTGAAAGTGTGCAGCTGAAATATTTTGACGGTTAGTACAGGTCTGTGCGCTGAGAGGGGTGCCATCGGCAGCGTTCACTTTCTGATGTCTTTTCTTTGTCACGGTGGATGAGGCTGTCTTTAGCACGACGCCGTAAATACAATAAAACTGGATTTCAATCTGTAAACCCAAAATCTAAATCTTCCTGCTGTCAAAACAAATCAACAACTCCCCATTTATGAGTTTATCAGCATGATCTAAAATGGAAACATCAGCATACAACCACCACTTATCAAACAATATCAACAACCAACCAACAAACTTTCTCAGGTATTATCATGTTAACATCGTCTCGATAAGATTAGAAACTCCATATTATTCTTAAAGGCAAGTGGAGGAAATTAACAGAGCTATCTTCAAATCGGGAACTAACTCACGAACCTAACTTATAAATAAAGATCATCACTTTAACACCTCACGACAACATACGTCATACCTATAACCATCGTCACTATCAGGTTAACTTTCACCAAATCAATTATATGAAATCTTATATCAACTTAAATCAAACTCTAATAAAGATGGAGTGATGCTGTAAGAATGAATTTCGCAAACCACACGACCAACTAAACTTGTGAATTCTCCCACAGTGGACGCTGCTCCAATCAATATTCAATTCAATGCGGAGGGGAACTCTGTTAATAAGAGAACTGGAAGAGACTATGGTAATCCTAAGCTGAAACTTCCAGTAACAAGGGCATTGAGAGGTTGAAGCACGTAAGGCTGCGTATCCTAGACTCGATCAAATAGAACAGGAAAGGTACAATGAACGAGGAGCGGTCTTCACTAAGCGGTTGGCTTCAGTCTGACGATGCTCTCCCCTTCGCAAATGTAACCGACAATTATCGTAATTCTTTAGATGGTATGGATATATTGCCGATTTGTAGCTTTCTTGCATGTAGCAAATCGTGATCAGCTTTTCCAGGCGGATAACAAATTTATTCATCCTACTTTCGGGTGACTGGCCATTTTCTAAGATTGAGATTTACTGGGATACGAATAGGTCGCTTCATCCCAGGTCAAGTAAGATGCTCCATACACTCAGTATTTCCTAGATCTTGTAAATTTAGCAAGGCACGAAGAAATCGTTCTCAAAGGAGTGCAGCATGATTGAAAGAACATCTTCAGACTAGCTCGGCTGGTATCATAAATAAATAGCGAATGTAAGGGTCTTTGTCTCCGGTGAGAAATGGGTCCAGTGATCCAAGTTGACTTGATGGGGGGGGTGTCATGTCCGTCTATGTCCGCCTATGTCCTGTCCTTTTTGGATTCTATGAGACAACGGACGTGTTTTTTGGGACATTGGCGGACACGGACGGACATTGGCGGACTCGGACGGACATTGGCGGACTCGGACGGACATTGGCGGACTCGGACGGACATTGGCGGACTCGGACGGACATTGGCGGACCCGGACGGACATTGGCAGACTTGGATGGACATTGGTGGACATTAGCGGACAAAAATTTTGAGGACTGAAGAGTACTGAAGAGTACTGAAGAGTACTGAAGAGTACTGAAGAGTACTGAGGAGGATGGCTGAGAAGGATGGCTGAGGAGGATGGCTGAGGAGGATGACTGAGGAGGATGACTGAGAGGGAGGAGAAGGATCAGGAAGACCCAGGAGGAGGAGGAGGAGGAGGACCCAGAAGGAGGACCTAGGAGGAGGAGGAGGAGAACTGAGGAGGATGACTCAGGAGGAGGAGGACTCAGGAGGAGGACTGAGGAGGACTGAGAAGGAGGAGGACTGAGGAGGATGGCTGAGGAGGATGGCTGAGGAGGATGACTGAGAGGGAGGAGGAGGAAGAAGAGGAAGAGGACTGAGGAGGAGGAGGAGACGGACTGAGGAGGAGAAGGAGGACCCAGGAGGAGGAGGACCCAGGAGGAGGAGGACCCAGGAGGAGGACCCAGGAAAAAGCCCCAGGAGGAGGAGGAGGACTGGGGAGGAGGAGAACTGTTGAGGACTGATGAGGAGGACTGAGGACGAGGAGGAAGAGTAGGAGGAGGACTGAGGAGGGGAGGAGGAAGAGGACTGGGGAGGATCAGGAAGACCCAGGAGGACCCAGGAGGAGGAGGAGGAGGAGGACCCAGGAGGAGGAGGAGGACTGAGGAGGACTGAGGAGAAGGACTGACGATGACTGAGAAGGAGGAGGACTGAGGAGTACTGAGGAGGATGACTGAGGAGGATGGCTGGTGAGGATGGCTGAGGAGGATGACTGAGGAGGATGACTGAGAGGGAGGAGGAGGAGGACTCAGGAGGAGGACTCAGAAGGAAGAGGAGGAGGACTCAGGAAGAGGACTCAGGAGGAGGACTCAGGAGGAGGACTTAGGAGAAATGAGAAGGAGGACTGAGGAGAACTGAGGAGGAGGAGGAGGAGGACTGAATAGGAGGAGGAGAAGGAGGGGGACTGGGAGAGGACTGGGGAGGAGGACTGATGAGAAGGATGAGGAGGAGGACCCAGGAGGAGGAGGACTGAGGACCGAGGAGGAGGATGAAGAGGAGGAGGAGGACTGAGGACGAGGACTGAGGAGGACTGAGGAGGATGGCTGAGGAGGATGACTGAGAGGGAAGAGGAGGAGGAGGAGGACTGAGAAGGAGGAGTAGGAGGAGGACTGAATAGGAGGAGGGGGACTGACGATGACTGAGAAGGAGGAGGACTGAGGAGTACTGAGGAGGATGGCTGAGGAGGATGACTGAGGAGGATGACTGAGAGGGAGGAGGAGGAGGACTCAGGAGGAGGACTCAGAAGGAAGAGGAGGAGGACTCAGGAGGAGGACTCAGGAGGAGGACTTAGGAGAAATGAGAAGGAGAACTGAGGAGGAGGAGGAGGAGGACTGAATAGGAGGAGGAGATGGAGGGGGACTGGGAGAGGACTGGGGAGGAGGAGGACTGATGAGAAGGATGAGGAGGAGGACCCAGGAGGAGGAGGACTGAGGATTGAGGAGGAAGAGGAGGAGGATGAAGAGGAGGAGGAGGACCCAGGAGGAGGAGGACTGAGGAGGACAGGAGGAGGAGGACTGAGGAGGACTGAGGAGGATGGCTGAGGAGGATGACTGAGAGGGAAGAGGAGGAGGAGGAGGAGGAGGACTGAGTAGGATGACTGAATAGGAGGAGGAGGAGGGGGACTGGGGGAGGACTGAGGAGGAGGATGGAGGACTGAAGAGAAGGATGAGGAGGACTGAGGACTGAGGAGGAGGATGAAGAGGAGGAGGAGGACCCAGGAGGAGGACCCATGAGGAGGAGGAGGACCCAGGAGGACCCAGGAGGAGGACTCAGGAGGAGGAGGAGGACTGGGGAGGAGGAGGACTGTTGAGGACTGATGAGGAGGACTGAGGACGAGGAGGAGGAGTAGGAGGAGGACTGAGGAGGGGAGGAGGAAGAGGACTGAGGAAGATTAGGAAGACCCAGGGGGAGGAGGAGGAAGAGTAGGAGGAGGAAGCATCTAAATGTTATTTCCATTTTTGTCCGTTTTTGTCCATTTTTGTCCGTTTTTGTCCGCTCTATTTTTTGTCCGTTTTGAAAATATAGGGTACCGAACGGACAAAAAACATGATCCCCCTATAACAGCAAAAATTGAACATTTTATTTAGCAATTTAGGTGTCCATTTATGTAGGAGGAGGACTGAGGAGGGGAGGAGGAAGAGGACTGGGGAGGATCAGGAAGACCCAGGAGGAGGAGGACCGAGGAGGACCGAGGAGGAGGAGGAGGACTGAGGAGGACTGAGGAGAAAGACTGACGATGACTGAGAAGGAGGAGGACTGAGGAGTACTGAGGAGGATGACTGAGGAGGATGGCTGGGGAGGATGGCTGAGGAGGATGACTGAGGAGGATGACTGAGAGGGAGGAGGAGGAGGACTCAGGAGGAGGACTCAGAAGGAAGAGGAGGAGGACTCAGGAGGAGGACTCAGGAGGAGGACTTAGGAGAAATGAGAAGGAGAACTGAGGAGGATGAGGAGGAGGACTGAATAGGAGGAGGAAAAGGAGGGGGACTGGGAGAGGACTGGGGAGGAGGAGGACTGATGAGAAGGATGAGGAGGAGGACCCAGGAGGAGGAGGACTGAGGATTGAGGAGGAAGAGGAGGAGGATGAAGAGGAGGAGGAGGACCCAGGAGGAGGAGGACTGAGGAGGACTGAGGAGGACTGTAGAGGATGGCTGAGGAGGATGACTGAGAGGGAAGAGGAGGAGGAGGAGGAGGAGGACTGAGGAGGACTGAGAAGGAGGAGTAGGAGGAGGAGGACTGAATAGGAGGAGGAGGGGGACTGACGATGACTGAGAAGGAGGAGGACTGAGGAGTACTGAGGAGGATGGCTGAGGAGGATGGCTGGGGAGGATGGCTGAGGAGGATGACTGAGGAGGATGACTGAGAGGGAGGAGGAGGAAGACTCAGGAAGAGGACTCAGAAGGAAGAGGAGGAGGACTCAGGAGGAGGACTCAGGAGGAGGACTTAGGAGAAATGAGAAGGAGGACTGAGGAGAACTGAGGAGGAGGAGGAGGAGGACTGAATAGGAGGAGGAGAAGGAGGGGGACTGGGAGAGGACTGGGGAGGAGGAGGACTGATGAGAAGGATGAGGAGGAGGACCCAGGAGGAGGAGGACTGAGGACCGAGGAGGAAGAGGAGGAGGAGGACCCAGGAGGAGGAGGACTGAGGAGGAGGAGGACTGAGGAGGAGGACTGAGGAGGACTGTGGAGGATGGCTGAGGAGGATGACTGAGAGGGAAGAGGAGGAGGAGGAGGAGGAGGACTGAGGAGGACTGAGAAGGAGGAGTAGGAGGACTGAATAGGAGGAGGAGGAGGGGGACTGGGGGAGGACTGAGGAGGAGGCTAGGATGGAGGACTGAAGAGAAGGATGAGGAGGAGGACTGAGGACTGAGGAGGAAGAGGAGGAGGATGAAAAGGAGGAGGAGGACCCAGGAGGAGGACCCAGGAGGAGGAGGAGGACCCAGGAGGACCCAGGAGGAGGACTCAGGAGGAGGAGGAGGACTGGGGAGGAGGAGGACTGTTGAGGACTGATGAGGAGGACTGAGGACGAGGAGGAGGAGTAGGAGGAGGACTGAGGAGGGGAGGAAGAAGAGGACTGAGGAAGATTAGGAAGACCCAGGGGGAGGAGGAGGAAGAGTAGGAGGAGGAAGCATCTAAATGTTATTTCCACTTTGTCCGTTTTTGTTCATTTTTTTCCGCTCTATTTTTTGTCCGTTTTGAAAATATATGGTACCGAACGGACAAAAAACATGATCCCCCCTATAACAGCAAAAATTGAACATTTTATTTAGCAATTTAGGTGTCCATTTATGTCCGCCTATGTCCGCCTATGTCCGTCTATGTCCGCCTATGTCCGTCTATGTCCGCCTATGTCCGCCTATGTCCTGTCCTTTTTGGATTCTATGAGACAAGCGGACATAGACGGACGTGACACCCCCCCCCTTGATGAGGTGTTCTCCCCCTGAAAAGTTGGTGAAAACCGAAAACTAAGCGCCATTAAAATAGCTCTATAAATGTACGTGCGCGCCGAAATTGATGAAAGGTGATTTGCTTTCTATGATACGTGGTGCCAAAAAGCACAAGAGTTCGGCATTTAGAGGTGCTGCGCGCGCCAGACTATGGCCAGTGAGCTTGACGTTGATACGTCAAATCAAATTTCTTAGTCATCATAAACAAAGAGCTACCCTGATTGTACAGAAATAATAATTTGATCTTAAAGAGCCACCATCTTAGCTTATTTTATTTCTAGAGAAATTATGTTTTCTAGACTAAAGAAGTTACAGAAAGGCCTGTCCATTGAGATACTTACCCGTACAATAGTTACCGTTCGTTTGAGATCTTTGTCTCTACACCAGAGATAGTTGATGTGATCCAGATGTAAGTGGCTGAAGAAATGACTCCTTTAATGACAAAATGATGACAAGGACTGATGACAAGGACTGATGACTGAGGACACTCCACGGAAATGATGACGGATGGATTCTAAGTGAACACTTCCTCGAAACGACAAGATGGCAACTCAAGACTGGGTGACTGAACCATCAAACTTATCACAGAAAGTGAAGAACTCTTCATCATCAAACAACTAAACTCCGAAACTTGATGAAACACGTGATATCATCTCCTGAACATTTGACAAAGTCTGTGCTCCTGAGATTCTAAAAGGGGGTAAATTGGTGTAAAGGTGTACAGATCTCTCCACGCCATTTCATCACCAGATGTGGATCTGAAATATACTGTAAAGTGATCTGGATCTGCGTGTTGACCACTGAGATTAAACGGGAATACTTTAATGATCATATCTAGATATCATGGCTCTCATCTTGATAATATCAAGCCGGAATGAGAAACTGGGTTGAGGATAGCTGGACGTACATCTTGCATGAACTTTCGGCAGACGGGCCGGACTTCCTTGCTGAGGGTTGCGGAGAACATCATGACTTGCTTCTCAACTGGGGTCATCCTGAAAATCTCCTGTACATCACGCCTCATATCTGAAATAGTACAAGTTAGTTTCAGCTTTTAGATAATACCGGTACGGTTAACAGGTAAACCACGTACACTGCACGTTACACAATGAGATAGACTACAAGGTGTGCACTGTGCAATAACTTCCGGCTATAAATGTAACATACTCGAGAAAATGGAGGTATCTTTATGCAGTAGTACATTCCCCTGGCCTCTGTCTAGTTTACAGGACAATAAGGCATTTACAATATAATCACATTTTGTAACGATATGCAACATATCATTGTGTCTAAACAGAAAACTATGTACAAACAGACAACTAAACAGAAAACTGTGTACAAACAGACAACTAAACAGAAAACTGTGTACAAACAGACAACTAAACAGAAAACTGTGTACAAATAGACAACTGAACAGAAAACTGTGTACAAACAGACAACTAAACAGAAAACTGTGTACAAACAGACAACTAAACAGAAAAACACACCGAGTTGATCGAGCATCTTATCACACTCGTCCAGAACGAAATGTTTGATCTGTTTCAAGTTAAGAGACTTGTCACGTGCAAGAGCCAGGATTCTGCCGGGAGTTCCTACTACGATGTGGGGACAGTCTGTCTTCAGCCTGTAGCAGTTTGTTATTGGGTGGGGCTTTAAGAAAAAAGGCCCCTTGCAGAAACAACACAAATATGTTTCATAATGTAGAATTGCTGATGTTCAGTAAAAAATTCAAAAAAAAAGGCTGAAATTCATTTGAAACATTGAATGAGATCTGATTGATTTTCATCGATAGTACTTGCAATTGGCAATAACAGCAAATAATAAAGAGCAACTTTTAAAAGAGTTTACCTCTGTTTGTCCTTAATAACGGGCATTCCACCGAAGAAGACTCCCACTTTAACATTGCTGAGATATTTGGCGAACCTCGTGTATTCCTTTGAGATCTGGAACGCTAATTCACGGGTGTGACACATGACTAGGATACTAACCTGGGTATAATTGGGTTATTTAATTAATTAATTGGTATATATTTAGTTGAGCTACATATAATGGCTCGAATTAAAAAAGCATATCTTTATTAATACGACGTTGAAATACTTAACTAGGGACATATAAGATCCGTTAAAATTTTTAAACAGGACGTTAAACAAGTCATGTTGTACCTACAACACGGCTGTTATGATACAACATTTGTAACTAGATACTATTTGTACAACTAGCGTCTAGCACCGATAAAATCTTTTAAAAAGAATTTTAACATTTAGACAAACTAACTGACTGATTGACCTACATATCAAGACAATCAAACTAAGAAAAATATAGCAAAAACCCCATATACCGGCCCGTATATTTCTCAGATCTGCAGAAGTGATTATTTTCATGCATTTGACATTTCTAAGTGAAAACCAAACCCCCAATTTTCTAGAGTTTTCCTCTGGCCAAAAAATCCAGGTAAATCGGGATTTTACCGAACATTTTACTGTATATTTTTTGTACAGACAAAGACTGACCTGTCCATCAACTGGTTCGAGCTGCTGAAGAGTAGCCAAGACGAAGACGGCAGTTTTACCCATACCACTCTTAGCTTGACACAAGATATCCATACTCAGGATAGCTTGTGGGATACACTCGTGCTGAACTGAAATGTAGATGGCATATCAGATCTATTCTATTGTTGCCATGAACAGATAAAAACATATAATAATAAATACTTATCAGGGTTTCCCGGTCGGCGGTCATGGTGATAAAAATCATCGGAGGACCGTTCTAAAATTTGTAAAGTGGCGAAATTGTTAGAAAAGAAAATATGTGATGTCTTACCTTCGGACGGATGTTCGAAACCACAATCTACAATAGACCTCAAGAGTTCTGGTTTGAGAAGGAAGTCCCTGAATCCTGAACTGTGGATACTGACGTATGATCCTTTCACATCTTTCTTGGCAGGCTCTACTGCTCCTCCGTTGGCGGCCTGAATAATAGCCATGGGTTAACATTCCACTTAGATATCTAAAAGGTATTTAACAGTTAATATTCCAATCTCATATGTTATAGTTGAGTAGTCGACATAACGTATTTTTCTAAACGTTATTATTAACGGGGTGTTTTCAGCAAGGAAGACGTCCAGAAGACAGAGTCAGAGTTGCTTGCATGTTAACAGTTAGAACTGGTGTATGAAGCAGGAAACTGTACTATACAGGGTGTTTCAAAAATAATGTCCTGATTTTAACAAACAATAAAAATTTTTATAAAGGAGCAAAATGCCCATTATCGGTTGGCATTAGTTCATAAAGCTTACAAATTTAATTTTTTAAGCTCATTTGTTCCAGCGATTCAACTTTGTTAATTTTTTTGGCTCTGTTCCAAAAATTCGAATTTTGAGAAAAATGGGGTTCACAAAAAAAACAAAACTTGATATTGTGAGGACTTATTGGATTTGTGGAGGCAGAGTGACAAGTGCTAGGCGTTTGCTACAGCAAACTTGATGATAGGACAATACGATGTCTTGTAAAGAAGCTAGAAACTGAATTTACTGATTGTACCCTGATAAACACGCGTACGGGTAGGCCGAAATCTGCTCTTTCTGAGAAGAATATCAAAAGGGTGCAAAGAAATTTAGAGAACAGTCCAAGGAGGTCAACCAGAACACTTGGTAGGGAGCTTAAGTTATCGACAACTTCAGTTTGGGGAATTTTGAGGAAAGAGCTGAAGAAGTTTGCCTAAAAAATTCAAATCAAACAGACACAAACTCCAAAAAATAGAGAACAAAAGACCGAATTTGGCAGCATGATGGCAGATCGCATCGAATCTGACTCAGAATTCTTGAAACAGATATTTTTTTCAGATGAGGCTCATTTTCATCTGAGCGGTCATGTCAATCGCCAAAATTGTAGGTTTTGGGCAGATGAGAACCCCCATGCAACAGTTGAGTCGCCTATCACTAGAGAGAAAGTCACAGCTTGGATGGGGATCGGGTATCATGGTATTTTTCTCAAAATTCGACTTTTTGGAACAGAGCCAAAAAAAATTAACAAAGTTGAATCGCTGGAACAAATGAGCTTAACAAATTAAATTTGTAAGTTTTATAAACTAATGGCAACCGATAATGGGCATTTTGCTCCTTTATAAAAAAATGTATTGGTTTTTTAAATCAGGACATTATTTTTGAAACACCCTGTACATAGTAGGGACAGAAATACGGACTCAAGAATAAAGATAAACTAATTCCACTAATTAGCTTGATTAGTAGTCACTGCTCCATTAAGGGGGCATACCCCAAAACAGTGGTTTGTGCCGTCCAGACCAAATGACCTCATAGGCAGTTCAGTGACCTTCTAGCGCACCGTTTCCACACAAAAAAAATTATTTTGAGAATTCCCATTTTTGTAATCGAGCATTTCCTGGTTAAGAGTGCAATTTTCGGAAAAAATTATTTTGTGGCTGAGACGCTATAAGTTAATCATTTCTTGCGGTATCAGGTTGAAATTTTGCTCGCCGTTTATTCACATCTATGTCAAGGTGTGTGTAAAATCTTGATATCGTATCTAAAAAGGCTGGTGTGTTATGAATTTTTAAAGTCAAAAAGCTAAAATTGTCCTTTTTAGGCTTATTTTAACAAAAAGTCAGTCAGGGGAGATCGGATTATTTGATGCTTGACATCAAATTGTTCTCTGAATTCTGGCGCAGTTTTTGATGCCCTCAAAAATGTTTTTACTCATTCACCTTCTGATCTATTGGACCTCAAAGCCAAACAACAAATTTAGGCACATTTTTCGTTTCTAATATTTACTGATTTTTCTAAAATTTTGATAGGAATGTGCTAGTGACTTTTTGAAGGGTGCAAAATAACCGCAACTAGCACATTTATATATGAGTTATGAACAACAAAACACCCTATAATGCTTCCCTTTGAAGTTATGGGAGAAAATGTGATTTTTTATCTGCAAAGCCAAAAAATACGAAAAATGTGCCTAAATTTGTTGTTTGGCTTTGAGGTCCAATAGATCAGAAGGTGAATGAGTAAAAACATTTTTGAGGGCATCAAAAACTGCGCCAGAATTCAGAGAACAATTTGATGTCAAGCATCAAATAATCCGATCTCCCCTGACTGACTTTTTGTTAAAATAAGCCTAAAAAGGACAATTTTAGCTTTTTGACTTTAAAAATTCATAACACACCAGCCTTTTTAGATACGATATCAAGATTTTACACACACCTTGACATAGATGTGAATAAACGGCGAGCAAAATTTCAACCCAATACCGCAAGAAATGATTAACTTATAGCGTCTCAACCACAAAATAATTTTTTCCGAAAATTGCACTCTTAACCAGGAAATGCTCGATTACAAAAATGGGAATTCTCAAAATAATTTTTTTTGTGTGGAAACGGTGCGCTAGAAGGTCCCTGAACTGCCTATGAGGTCATTAGGTCTGGACAGATTTGGGTATGCCCCCTTAATTAGCCTAATTAGTCAGTTAATTACCTCGGTGGTGGTCTCGGTCTCCTCCTCTTCGTAGTCGAGCAGATCATTCTCAGCACCTTCTTCAGTCATGGCAGCCATTTCAGCAAGTGTTAACTACAATGCAACTGGTTAAAACATGAACACTACTTTGGCAAGACACAAATTGGGGATTTGCTTACATTAAGACACGACGAAATTGGTCAATTTAAATGTATATCTGCGAAGTTACAAAATAAAGTACTCTACAGTATAAATGTTATTTGAAAATTCTCCAATCAATCAGTGAGTGTAATCTATGTACAAAAAGGGTAATAAGTTACAAAGCTTACTAAAGTCTCTCCGCAAAATAAGAAGACTTATCAAGCTTCAAAAGATAATAGTCATTGATGGTTCTCATTATTTCTCATTAAATTAGGCGATTATCCATAACGATAAATTGTCTGTTTACCCCTGTTTACCAAGAGTCTCTGAGATCGTTATAAGACGATTAACACTTTCATTTTATCAGAATCCTAACTAGTGAGAGGCTCACACTTCAGAACCGAGGAACCTTTTCTGCTTGAATAGCTCTGGTTTGGAGTGTTCAGGATAATGTTTAGGATCTCCGAGCATTTTCCCTTTCAGTGGATCGTATGTTGACATAATAAGTGCGCCTCCAAAGGTAGCAACAAAGAGGTAGGCAACGTTAGCTTGCCTGAAAAAAAAACAATCATCAGTATTTATATATTTTAAATGATTATAAATAACTAATAAGTAACAAACACGAATTAATCAATTTATTGATGTTACGTGATGATTCGAGTATCAAGAAGGTATCGTCTAAATTGACAAAAATCGTATCTATGGACCACTTAGGCGAATTAAAACTCTCATTGCAGCAAGAAGAATGAACAGAAACACTAATGAATTCCTTGAAAGAGAAGAGATTTCTAATCCCTCTAATGTACTGTACATGCAAAATTGTGAAATCATCAAGAACTAAGCTATTAAGTTGCCTGATAATGCCACTTTCGGTGACGATATCTGAGGCGAAGGATATAGAAGAACCTTAATGGGAACTAAATTGATGGATTGGGCCAAGGGACCATCCCAGCTCGCTGATGACCTCAACCTATTAGGGCCATGACTTTGACTAGGATTGTAACTTTGAGTTGCGGTTAAGTTCATGCGAAGGAACGTACAAGAGAGAGATAGGATGATTTGATTTGAAACTTTTACAAAATAGCAAATATACAAATGTACAGCAAGTCACAGTGGGCCAGAATAGGGGGTCATACTATAATAGACCATCAGTGATCAATTTAGATCGTTTCAAACATTATTTTTTACTTCAAATCAGTTGAATATTGATTTTTAAACAAATTTTGGTCCTTTATAAGTCACAGAAAAATTTTTTTGGCTCATTCCATAGAAATTTTTCATGGCTGAAATGTAGGTCTAGAGGCATCCAATTAGAGTTTTTGCTAAAGATAATCGTTGAATGTGTTTAGAATGTTTTTAAATTGATAGTCCTGAGGCTATTGATCATTTTAGTTTTTGAATTATGAAAAAATATTGATCGTAGCCAAAGTTATGTCAAATTGAAACCAGAAAACTGGGCGCGAATGCCAGAAATTTCTGAAATTGTCAGAAAATACCAGTAAAATTCCAGAAAAATAGCATTTTTTGATGATATTTCCAAAACAGACCACTTTTTAGTACCCCATAACCTCATGGCACCAGGCCACGACATTGAGAGCCAAGAAAGATGTTCAAAATGGGGTTTGTTTGAGAAAAAATAATTTTTTTCAAATCTGCAAGGTAAGTCTAAATTCCATCAAATTTGGGCCTTTTTTCAACTTTGGAATTTTTTTCTGAAAAAGACCCAAAAAAACCCAGAACAGTTCTTCTACCATTGTTTAGAGAATCGTCTGAGCTTTCAGATGGTACCATGCATTAGTGGGGCAACCTGAGGCAAATAAACTTTTTTTGGCCAAATTTAAGCAAAAATTAGTCAAAAATGAAGCCTAAAATTGAGTGCGTGCCAAAAATTCAGCTTAAATGATATGATTACATGGTTTTTTGCATGAATTGAAGCAAAGAGAGTACTTTCACCTTGATTAGGAGTCAATATACGGTGTTTTAAGCCAATTTTAGAAATATAATGATGGGTTATGCCAATTTTGACTGCCAAAAGTGAAAAAATTGGCAGTCAAAAAATTTTGTAAATTTGCCGACGCGCTGCGCGAAAGCCATTTAATCAATTCAATTATGGTTTTTTGCATCTAATAGCCAAGATTTTTTACTGCAATACAAAACTTACTTAATTCCTTTTAAAAGAACTCAATTTTTCGTCTATTATAGTATGGTGGCCCACTGTGCAAGTCGAACAAACATATAAAATGGGCCGAAATGTATAAATGCTATAAAGCGTGGGTCAGTGAAACAAGTACAGAGGACAACTTTCAAAACAGGAGTTTTATGGCCGCCCAAAGTCTCAATAACATCACCTCCACCTAGTAATAAAATTATGAAATATGAAAAGTGTGAAACAATCAAATAATAAAATATTCAAAATATATAGTTGTCTCTTAAATACAGATAACGTCTGAAAATTCTTAAAATAATCATCACTCCTTCATATACTGATCATTGTCCGAGAGTGTAACTCATGATGACTTCTTATCACGGCTACATACCTTCCCGTACCGGATGTAGTGGTCGAGATGAGTCTGTTCCGCCCTCTTCTTCTTCAGGTCAGTGACCAGATGCTTCCTTGTTGCTCGTTCTTCGCTGGATCTGTCTGGACATATCCATACATCTTTGTGCGTCTCCCTCAGTCTCCCTGTTTTCATCAGAATCTGATGAACCGCTGTTGAGCTTGGGACGGTGATCTTGACTGGTCGGATAGCCGTACTACCTGGCCTCTTCCAACCGACTCTAGTCGCTTCGAAGTGAGGTTTCTCCCCGATCTCCTCCAAAACTGCGGTAACTAGCGCTGGAAGCTGTTCTTCCTCCTTTTCTTTCAGCCCAAACACGATCAGGTTCTTGCTCCTGTCCTCCTCTGCAGCCACACTCTTCATCACCTTCTTCAGGATTTTACTGTTGCAGACCGCACCACTTGCACTGTTCTGTTGAACAGCTGCACTATAGTTCTGAATCCCTGACTCCACCGTTGTTTGGACTGTCTCCTCAACAGACGTCTTAAGCAACTGTAGTTGTTCGTCCTTCTGCATCAGCAGCTGGCCCTGCAGTCTGATCACCTTTTCTTTGTCTGCTAGTGCTTCCGTCTTGAAGCACTCGATGATCTCCTTCAAGAGATACATCTGACTACTCTGCCGACGAACAAGGTCCACTGCATCCACAATCCAGCCAGACAGAGTCTGTTTATCCTTAGTCTTGATCTTTTCACGACTATCGTAGTCGATTTCACGGTAGTCTATATGCAGGTCTTTTTCTAACTGATCGGACCAGCGTGCAACACAGCCTTCCACATCTTCCTGTTGATCATAGTTGAACTCCTTAATCAACTCCTGGGATCGGGTCAAAGTGCGGTCATCCCCCATAGTGTACTTGTATAGTAATGTACAAGTACACACGCAAAGGTAAACTACGCGGTAACAGCAAACTGAACTACACTCAATCTGGGAGTAAAACATTGTAAAGGGTAAAACAGCAGATGGATGACATCATAATAACATTAACTTAAAATATTACTCACGAGGTAGTCCAGGTTTTGTAGAGCCAGGTACTGTCCCATTGGAGCGGTCCGTAGATCTTCTTCATAGATTGAACAACTGCGTACCGCAACAGCATCTCTATCTATGAACGATTAATGATTAAGACTCGAATGGATAAGAGGTACAGGTATCATGGAATGTGGTTGAAATTCGGTTGAAATTCGACTGCATGCACATGTAAATTTATCTCGACATGGTTTGGTCAACTCCGGGCCACATCACCTAATGAATTCCTCAGCTCATACCAGGGATCTGCAACAACCTGACCATTTATCACCAGAGCTAAGAAATTAATGGAGAATTCGCAACAAGACAGCCAACTCAGCCGGATGATCTAGACCATGATAACATGACCAAGACGAATTCAAATAGCATGTATTAAGTACATGCACATTGTGGATTATACGCATGGTTCAACTAATTGTGTACTGAAACAGTATGACATGGGAGCCCGACCAAGAGATTGTCAAACTGGCAAGCAAACCCCTCACACTTCAATTCAATGACTCTTTGAGAGTGCCATGAACTGAGGAGTAGCTAAGGATCCATTGGATGTATGCGAACTCCTCGGTCGACTCAGCCGAATGGTAGGAAACTTAATTGAGGTTTAAATAGGGATCCTGATAAAAGTTCAAGAAACTTCCTAGGATACCCCTACTGTACATACTGTAGACATAGTACTATTAACTATTAACTATTAACTATGTCAATAACCGGTTTACTTCGCCACCAGAACGCAAGTGAGAGGACATTTGGCTATGAAGCTAGGTGACGAACGACATGACAATGGGAAAACAAGTGTTTTGCAAGCAAGATGTTGAAAAACATCAGATTCAATGGGCGCTCGATTTTAAATAATTTCATAATAATAATAGCGCCCAAAATGCGCGGCACAAAATCAAAATATATTCGATTTTATCATTAATCATAGTTACTGTCATTACTATAATATAATACTGTCTTCAAACATCAAGAGTACTATGGAGAACTCTAAATTGAAAATTTTGCACCATGTATAGCAATTTAAAATTGTATCCAGCTTGCTTACTGCTTACTTGCTCGTCTATTGCTGGCATTTTCACGTCTCTCACTGCGAGAAGCTAAAAAAGAACGCCGCGCATTGTATTGAGATTAGCGTGCCCGCAGCCAGGTAATTTACAATTGAGAATATGTGGAATCAATAATTGATAGTCAAACAAATGGAATCAATAGTTGGTTTTTAAAATTTTATAAAGGTAAAGTTAGTGCATAAAGGAGGTTTAACTTTAAAAATAAATCGACGTGACAACTTTGATACATGTTTCGCGCGCGAAAAGTGGCATGCAACGTATGTCAATGACAACTTGTTTCGCGTCTTTATTTCATTTCATTGGTAAGTTATAACCTACAAATATTATCCATCAAGTTAGTTTATTGCACGATTTTCCCACACGATTTTGCTTATCCATTATCGAGCAAAATATTAAAAAAATTTTGTTTTAAAAAAAATGT